GGTGATGCCATCCAGCCATCTCATCCTCTGTCATCCCCTTCTCCTCCTGCCCCCAATCCCTCCCAGCATCAGGGTCTTTTCCAATGAGTCAGCTCTTCGTATCATGTGGCCAAAGTATTGGAGTTTCAGCTTCAACATCAGTCCTTCCAATGAACACCCAGGACTGATCTCCTTCAGGATGGACTGGTTGGATCTCCTTGCAGTCCAAGAGGACTCTCAAGAGTCTTCTCCAACACCCCAAATCAAAAGGTAGGCCTTCATGGAAAATGAGGTTGAAGTCCTGTCAATTTTCTAAACACTAAGAATGGAACGTAACATAGAAAGGGAAATTTGCAAGCAGGCCCTTGTTTGCTGCCCTTTAAAGTTGCAAGAAGTTCTAGCAAGAAGCACAAGTTCTGGCACCCAGAGCTCACCTAGTTTCGATATGGTCTGTTCCCTTCTCTCCTTCTTCACTTTAAGTTAATAGATTCATGTCAGCTAGCCTATTCATCTTGACTATAAATAGCCATTTTTTCCGATTAAATGCTCATCAGTTTTCTTCAAGATTTCAACATTTTTAAATGATATACAACACAAAGCAAGTTTTATTTATATTTGCACATGTACACACAGAGAGTAAAATAAAAGGGTGCATAGGTTAAGTGTAGAATAAACTCCTAGTGTTTACCGCTTCAGGTCACACAAATTCTAGTTAGCTCGGCATGGTTATTTGATTAACCTTGAGGGTCTTCTTAAGCAAATAGTAAAATCATCATAATATCACAGGTATTTTCTCAAAAATAACGAGTTTGAATTCTTGCTGTAGTCATTCCTAAATTAAGGAGAGACTTCCTGCTCCTGGTTGCTCAGATTCAGCAGTTTCCAGGAGGCAAGGATGTCAACAATTTGGCAAAAGCAGAAAGAAGAAGAAAAAAAAAAAAGGCAGTAGAACCACATGAAATTTCAACACAGTGGCTGCCTTGGAGCCCATTTGGGGGTTAACTTGAGCTTTTTCCCCAGCCTTCCCTCCTTAAGGGGACTTGTGCTCCAATTCCAGCAAGCTCCAATAAAATGGAGATAAGATGCCCTGGAGGCTTGAAGGCAGCCCTGTGGGTGTGAGCAAGGTCACATCACATCATGGGAACTAACGAGATGGGATTTTACATAGTTTGAGTGTTGGCTCTTTTTCACTTGCCAACAGTGGGACGTTTGTTCTCGTTGTTCAATAATTAAATAGGCAGTTTGTATTTATTTAACATACAGACTGTAGCCAATTCCTGCTGACAGCTACCAAAATAACCCCACATTTCCTAGCTCTGAAGGGCTCCGAAGATTGTTTTCTGACTGCGGGGGCATCCCCTGCAGACTGAAATTCTCCCGAGTCTCTGAACACCGTTTTTCATCACTTCAAACAATAAATCACTTCACAGCATGTGATCCAAAACACGCAGCCCAGGTTTATTGGATGAGGGTCCTTCTCTGAGGCTCTTCCTGCTGCCAGTGCTGAGCTGTCGTGAAACTGTGTTTAGCGAGGGCAGAAGAAAATGTTGACAAGTTTTCCTCATTTGTGCATGTCCACTAAAGAAAGTGAATTTTGACCTAATGATTTTAGAAAGGAAGAAGGGGTAATAACTTGCAGCAGAAAGTAGGGAGTTTGGGAAGAAGCAAGCCAATCAGGGAGTCAGGAAAGGTGAATACTGAAAGACCACACTGGGTATCTTTGGAACAATTGATGGTAAAGTTAAGGGCCCTGGCTGGTCCCCTGAGTGTGCAGAGGGAGAGAGAAAAAACTGAGTGGCGGAAGACTGCATTCTCTCCCATGGTGAAGGGTGATGCTAAGAGAGATACTGGGCATGTTTCTGTACTATAAGGCTTCACCCTATCACATGTGCAGAAAATGGTATCAGAGGAGATGCACACCAGACCCCTGTTGACGCTTCCTGGAGTTCAGACATAATGTTTGGGGTATTTAGGCTGTACATGCTAAAGAGGGATCTTTGGCAGGAGTTTAGGTAGGAGAAGGATGCTATGTGCCATGGCCTGTTTGGTTATCAATCGGCCAGCAGCAGGGCAATGTATGGTACCACCACACTGTACCACCTTTCTTCTGATGCCCTTACTAAAATGGGCCTCAAAAGGTCACCCTGGGAAGGTATGAAGCAGCAGTCAGTCGGAAGCAGATTCTTTTCCTTCTCAGCATTCTACCCACACCCTCTCCCTGCCTCTTGAAGGGCCCCTCTACTGTGCAATTTGCCTCTGAGTGACTCTCTTTATGGTGTCTACTCCAGTATTCTAGGCTGGAGAATTCCATGGACTGTATAGTCCATGGGGTCACAAGGAGTCGGACATGACTGAGTGACTTTCAGTTTCACTTTGGGCTTCCTTTGTGGCTCAGCTGGTAAGGAATCCGCCTGCAATGCAGGAGACCTGGGTTTGATCCTTGAGTTGGGAAGATCCCCTGGAGAAGGGATAGGCTACCCATCCCAGTATTCTGGCCCGGAGAATTCCATGGACCGTATAGTCCATGGGGCCACAGAGTCGGACATGACTGAGTGACTTTCACTTGGTGCATACTGTGAAGGCCTCTGTGTGGTCAATATTAAAACTAAGCATTCAAGAGTCAAATAGCTCCACTTTGAACTATTCAACACTGGTAGCACTGCAGAGATTGGAACTCAGGTGAAGAAAACCATTCACACAAGTAAGGAGGAAGCAGCCTGTTAGGGTGACATCCACATTTCACCTGGTATATAGTATCTGAAGAAGGAAGTCTCTCTCCTTACCATCTGTGCATATCCAACAGTCTGAACTCAGTTTCCTCATCTGTAAAATGGGTCTGCCCCACTTGTCCTTATCAATGCATTGCTCTGGAGGTTGAAATGGAAGTACTCTGCCCTCTGGTACTCACCCTTAGTCCTTTCCTTTTAATCCACCCCGAGGATTCATTTCTGCCTCTTCAAGAGATGTGAAACTATGGATGAAGCCATAGAAGTCGAAGTCAATTTTTAAAAAATGTTATCATTCTATCCCTCATTTTCTCACTTGTGAAAGGAGAGAAAAAAACATCTTTTCTGACTGTGCTGCGCAACTTGTGGGATCTTAGTTCTCTGACCAGGGATCAGACCTGAGGCCCGGCAGTGAAAGCATGGAGTCCTAACTGCTGAACTGCCAGGGAATTCCTGAAGAGGAAATTTTTTAGTAAAATCTCCAAAGTTTCTTCCAACCTCAAAGAAAAAAGGGTAGGAGGTCCATTCAAAAATATTGGTTGCAGAGTCTTGACCACCTTTGGAATGAGAAACAATGTCTAAGTAAACTCAGTCTAGTATACTAATATAGTATATAGAAGCAGGTATTCTGGAGTTGCATGTCTCAGGAGTTGGGGCAGAGATCTTGGCATGTTTCCGAAGCATAATCAAATGGGTGTGGATAACAGAGAAGTCTGGCATCCTGCTCATTATCTGGGGCCATATTCCTAGGAGGCTGATTCAACGATTCACAGCCAAGAAGCATTTTTTATCACAGTCTCTTCTCCCATCAGAAACTGCTCCCGGCATGTCAGCCACACTGCTGTCACGCTTTCAGTTCCCTGGGTCATGAATCAAGTGACTACTGTCAGAAGCAATGAGGTTGCGCATTGTGTATTTTCTGGAAGGGTCCCTCCCTCTCTTTGCATCTGAGTTCTTCTCTCCTCCCCTTCTTGCCTTACTCCCAGAATCCTCTACAATCTTCATCATCCCTTTTCTCCCCTACTTCTTCCTTTCCTCTCCAGTTTTTCCTTCCTCAGCACATCTCCATTTTCTATACTTTAAAGCTTCCACTGGGATTGACACAGTCTGTTTCACTCCTGTTTCCCCCTCCTCTTCCCTCCCTGTCCCATTCCAGTTCCTCACCATGGACGACAAGAGGGCTGTGTCCAAACTGGGACTGAATACAATCTGCAAGGAATTTAACAATCTAAGCCCCACGCCCACAGTGCACTATATTCGAGTACAATATCAGCAGATCACAGGATCAAATATCATGCCCTTATTAGGATGGAGCATTGTTGTTCCCCATGGAGAATTGGCCTCTGTCAATGGAATCCTTTGATATCCATAATACAGAACTGGATAATGGGCAAAGAGAAAGAAGATCACAAATTGGAGGTTATAGGAAAGAAGGCAGAGAGAAACCAAGTTACTCTAAAAAGTGAGGGAAGACAAAAAGCTAAATGAGATGAAGAAGCATTTTATGAGCAGAGAGGCTGTTGGTGACTAGGCAATCAGAGTAATACAGGGTGCAAGAGACTCGGGGAGAAAAAAGGGGAGATGAGCAGTGTCTCTAAGTTATAAGTTGGATCCTCATAACCTTTTTTAAAAAAGAGATGCAGTTTAGAAGATGGGCTCCTTTCTTGATTACTTTTGGCTGTTTGATCTATAAATCCTTGAATAAAAGTCTCCCTAGAAGCTGAGACAGGTGGGTCAAAGAGCCATACAGGTTACACACCAGAGTTCACGGAAGTATAAAAACTTCTGAGTTTTCTCTGAATTAAGTTTAGACCACTGAGATTTAGAAAGAATGATATTTGCAGGAGTTTCCCCTACTGTACTCTCTCATCAGACAGATTTTTCAAAGGGCAGTCATTTCAGCAGAATAAGAAAGAGATAAATGGCAGCCTGTGCATTTGATATTTGATACATTCTTCCTCCACTGAGAAGTTAATGCTTTAGTTCCAAACTTACCTGAAGTCATCAGGAGACTTATCAGAGACGTCAAACTCCCATGCTATGCTGAAAGGAAGTAGGTTTTAGAGGCAAAAGGAGAATTGTGTCTCTCTCTGTAGTTCAAATGGCATTTGGAAATCCAATTAATGTTTGGTTTTTAAAGCAGAATCAGTAACTGTGTTCAAAACTGCCGACTGTTCAGTTTGATAATAAAACAGGCTACTCTAAAGATGGCTTATAGTCATTAGGGAAAGTCTCGCTCTGTAGAATAAACTTTCTCTTTGGAATAATAATATTTTATGTTTTATGATTTCTTTCATCCAAGAATTTCAAAGCATTTTAAAATAGTTTGGCGTGATGGGAAATGTAATGCTTCATAACTTAAGCTACATATGTCAATACTTTGCCTGGGGACAGAAATTAATTATTCCATGGAAGTAATGTTGGTACCTCATTTTATTCTATTTATACTATAAAAGTATCATTATTAATCATTATGATAGCTATTATTTATTGAAAAGAGAATGCTTATTCTGTTAGGCACTGTGTTAAATGTTTTACATGCATTATCTCATTTAATCTTCATATAGATCTTAATCTAAATCTAATGTCATTTTACAATGATTCTTTGAGAAAAGCACTACTTTTATCCTTCTTTCACAGATAATGTAATTTAGGTTCAGGAGGTTAAGTAACTTGCTCATTGTCATAAAGCTCGTGAAAATGACAGTGTGTTGTTAGTGGGTAAGGAATCAGTCAGCAAAAGTTCTGGTGGTCAGTTTCCTTTCCAGTTGTCACCTGAATGGCATTTTATGCAGCCTCTTAGATCATGAAGAGATGGTTTTCTTAATCCTAGAATTGTGTAGCTGCAATCTTTGCTGATCCTTGAATGTGTCAAGAGTTCTGTTGTCCCTCGACACCTAGTAAGTAGAGAAAACTCAAGGGTGATTAAAAATATTGTAAATGACACCCCTTCTCAACTGTCAGCCAAGTCTCTAGAATTACAACTACAAAACGTACTGTGGCCAAAAATTCCAGGATTTCAAGATACAGGGCCTTTACCTTTCCCCTGGATTGTTGCGATATTCTCCTCCTAACTGGTATCTCTGCTTCTACTCTTGTCCCCTACAACCTAACACTGATTGAGGATTCAGAATAATCACCTTAATACGCAAAACCAAGTCAAGTTCCCTGCTTCAAATTCCCCAAATGGGTTCTCATCATATTTAGAATAAAACCCATGGCTAAATGCTCTCCATGATCCATCCAAGCCAAGCAATAATCTGATCTTAACATCCCTGTCTTCCTGGCACACTCCATTTCAGCTTGACACACTCAGCCTTTTCCCAGATCTTCAGATCACTGAGTCTGTCCTGCCTAAGGGTCTTTATACAGGCGCCACCTCCTACTGAAACCACTCATCCCTGCTCTTTTCCCAACTGCTCCCTCCTGTTTCTCAGGACTCAAATATTATAGTAGGTCTTCAGTGATACACACATCCCTCCCCACCACCACACACCACATCGAGATTTCATCCTTGCTACATTTTCTCCTAATACCCTGTTTTTCTTTCATACCTCTTATTCTTATTTATCATTTTTTTTAGTACTTCTGTATTGAATGAGTGTCTCCACAATTGGGCTATACGCTTCATGAAGGAAAATTCCTTATCTCTTTGATGACCATTGTATTTGATCACAGTGCCTGAGAACTTGAGTGATCATGTTAGGTATTGATGAAATATTTGATTTTGAGTAACTCTAAGCTTGATTCCTTGTCAATCACCTAATTGCTATGTGACCTTTGGAAATATATTCAACCTCTTCTCTAAGTCTCAACCTTTTCATCTGCTAGATGAATTTCATAATAACCTTGTCACAAGATCTATAGGGAGTAGATACATGATAATATATACAAAATGCTTTGTAGACCATGACAACTTTTCTTATAAAATTTCAAGCTTTAGATCTAGTACCACCTCTGTGGAGCAAAGGGCATTCCCTCTAGTCTACTAAGCTAAACTTGCAGAAGGAGCAAAGCTGTGGACAACACGTGGGCATTTTTCACAAGGCTTGTAACTAGGCTCCAGGGCACTCAGAGTCTCAGCAAAGAATGAAATTAACCCAGCTCTTCCTCCAAGGAATAAACTGGTCCCTTGACTGAGCCTGTGTGTTCACGTTGCTGACTTGGGCTTCATAAACTCAGCCCTTCTACTGACCTTTTGTCCTCTTTCCTAACTGACTTCTCCTCCAAAGCACACAGCCAGATGGAAACCCACAGGGGCACATGTATGGACAGAGCACATGCCCTTGCAGGATCAGACTGCCTGGTGATTGTTTTAAGGGACAGAAAAATGGAGAAGCTCTATGGGCACATAACACATATGGTTCTCACCTGCGCTTAAGGTACACATCACTCTCTTAAGCGCTTAGAGAAGGAAAGGCTGTGTTCATTGTAGGCTAAAACTTTTCCCAGGGGATTTATGAAATGCTGCTTCTTTTTTGTTGATCTAGCTTTGATAAAAGGAGTAGTATCAGTAACTATGTTAGGGGAAAGGTCAGGATGGCTAGAGTCCGTCTTATATGGGAAGGATCAGAGCAAGTGGAGGTCACTTGGGGAGACCAAGGTATAGCATATATGTTCTCCTTTGGCTTCTTTCTTCTCAGCAGTGAGCAGATCAGTGACCTAGGTATAAGAATACTTGGAACCGTTGAGAAGTTCTCTAATCTATTCTAGTATTTTTAGACAGAGTGTCTCAGAGCAAACTAGATTCAGAGGTCTTTCATTTCCCATGGTTTTCCTTCTGAAACAGGTGAGAAAATAAGCCTCATTACAAGTGGTATTCGAAATAGCTATTTGGGATTCTTAAATGGTATTATGTGACTGGTGATGGAAGTAAAGTCTGATGCTGTAAAGAGCAATATTGCATAGGAACCTGGAATGTTAGGATGGCTGCTATCCAAAAGTCTACAAGCAATAAATGCTGGAGAGGGTGTGGAGAAAACGGAGCCCTCTTACACTGTTGGTGGGAATGCAAACTAGTACAGCCACTATGGAAAACAGTGTGGAGATTTCTTACTTCAGTATTCTTGACCCTGAAGAATCCCCATGGAGAGGAGCCTGGTGGGCTATAGCCCATGGGGTCACAGAGTCAGACAGGACTGAGCAACTAAGCACAGCACAGCACCACGTTGGAAGCTCTACTCTACCTATACACTCTTTGATTTTACAAACTGATTAAATCAACATTTACCCATTCTTCCTATAC